TCATACCAGGCCTGCTCCATCCAGGTGCCCAGGATGACATGGTGCTGGGAGCAAGCAGGCAAAGGGAAGTAGAGTCAGTGACCTGCCCAACTCACAGAGTGGCCTCTGCAGTGGACTGCACATGGGCTGGGCTCCTGGTGGATCTCTATGCAGAGGTCAGGCCAGCCCAGCCCGAGCTCCTTCGTCTGTCCAGGCAGCAGCAGGCTGACTCAGCAGACACAGGCTGCAGAGAAACCACTAAAGGCATTGGGGCCAAGAACCACTGTGGGACTCCTCTCTCCTTTTTGAAGAAGCACTGCACACTGCTCTCTGGAACCAGGCCTCCTGCTCACTGATCTAGGAGGCTTGGTGCTCCTGCTTGGCATGCAGAGGAGCTTGGTAACATCTCAGTCTGAGACTCACACTGCTGGGCTGCCTCTCCATATTTGTGGTACCCCAAAGGCTCTTGTCTTCCTACTCAAGTTCTCCTAAGTGTACTGTAGTCCCTTGCACTTGCTACACGCTTTAGGCACTTGCTGAGCACACATCAGCAAGGGAAGGAGGCAAGGTGTAAATGGGCTGCTCCCCACACCAGCTCCATGTCCCATTCTGGGGACTGGGGCAGCCCAGGAAGGAGGGCTTGTTGTTCCTCTAGATCCTCAGAGGGCCTAGCTCAAAGCTCCAGCATCTCCCACTGTTCCCAACATCCCTGGGACCCTCAGTAGCCCCTCAGTATCCTTGTCTTAACCACCAGCCCTAACCCTCACCCTAACCCTAACCCTCACCCTAACCCTAACCCCAACCCCAACCCCAACCCCAACCCTAACCCTAACCCCAACCCCAACCCTAACCCTAACCCTAACCCTAACCCTAACCCCAACCCCAACCCCAACCCCAACCCTAACCCTAACCCTCACCCTCACCCTCACCCTAACCCTAACCCTAACCCTAACCCTAACCCCAACCCCAACCCCAACCCTAACCCTAACCCTAACCCCAACCCCAACCCCAACCCCAACCCTAACCCTAACCCTAACCCCAACCCCAACCCCAACTCTAACCCTAACCCTCACCCTCACCCTCACCCTAACCCTAACCCTAACCCTAACCCTAACCCTCACCCTCACCCTCACCCTAACCCTAACCCTAACCCTAACCCTAACCCCAACCCCAACCCTAACCCTAACCCTAATCCTCACCCTAACCCTAACCCTAACCCCAATCCCAACCCTAACCCTAACCCTAACCCTAGCCCTAACCCCAACCCCAACCCTAACCCTAACCCTAACCCTAACCCTAACCCATAGGCAATGCCAGGAACTTTAGCCATCTCTCAGGAAGCACTAGGGAGACCTGGAGTTTGCCCAGCAGTCCCCAGAACTACAGCCTCTCTCCCCTCCGTGTCCCTACTCTGGAGCCTGGAACCCTCCCTCTGGACTTACAGGCCTCTCCCTTGGCTCACTTTTTGGCTGGACCCTGAGCCAATCTGTCCTTGCTGGAGTAGGGCAGGATGCAGCTGTACCTAGGGGAGGCCATGAGGGTGTCTCTTCCATGACCCCTGTCTAAGGAGGGCAGGTCACTGGCTGACCCCAAAGGAGAGGGCCCTGTGAAGGGAGTCTGCTGTGTTTTCCCCCAAGCAAGGTGCTACGTTTGTTCAAATGGAGCCGTGTGTGGCAGACACCTTGTACATGTGCAGTAAATGAATGTGGCCCTCTGTGTCCCAGATGTCTCACATGCCCTTGGTCCACCAACAAGGCTCCTGCTTTAGCTGTGGCCAGGATGAGAACTGCCCTTGCCCTAGCATATTGTCCCACTTCAAGCCCCAGGTGGAATCTGGAAAGTTTTGTTCCATGGGTAAATGCTTTGCCCTGGGCCCCAGGCAAGTGAAGCTCACTTGAGGCTAACAGTTCTTCATGAAGTTGGAAGTCACACTGGAGGGTTCCAAAGCACTGGCTGGCCCACTGTGCAGCAGGCACTTGCAGGACTGATGCATTCTGGTCCAGGTGACTCCCCACGGGGAGAACCTCAGAGCACTCCAGGTTCTCAATGTAAACTGGGCTTCCTAGATGTGCAGGGGACCTCCAAGACCCAGGCAGGAAGTGATGGGCCCCATCCCCAGCCTTGGCATTAGAAGACATCAACTTTGTGAACAGGAGGTCCAGTGCCTGCTGCATGGTGCCAAACCTGTGGTGGCTTCGCAAAAAGCTGAGCAGAAAGTGGGAGTCCCCACTCAGTAGAGTGGGCACCAGGCAGTTTACCATCTTCTCTAGGTGCCTTGATGCTGTCCCAAGGCTCCCCATGCTGAAGGGCTCTTCTGGACTCAGGAACAGCTGACCTTCACCCTGAGTAGGACCAGGGTGGCAGGAGGAGTCAACCATGGAAACACCAACTGCAAGGTCACTCAGGGTCATTCACTGAAGTGAAAGGAGTGTAACCCTGTTTTCCTGGATATTCACATACACACACACACACACACACACACACACACAAGACAGAGACACACAGACACAGGCACACACAGACACACACAGGCATACACACAGACACACACACACACACCAACACACAGACACATACGCAGACACACAGACACACACACAGAAACACACACAGGCTCACACACACAAACTTACACAGACACACACAGAGATACAGACACACCCACAGAGACACACAGACACAGAGACAGATGCAGCCACACACACAGACACACACAGAGACACATGCAGCCACACACACAGACACACACACACAGACACACATATAGACACACACAGAGACACACACAGACACATACACAGACACACACACAGAAACACACACAGACACACACACACACATAGACACACATACACAGACACACTGACCCCCCCTCCAGAATATAGAACACCACAACACAGCACATACATTGAAATGTGGGACATGAGACACAGGAGAGACCTAATGGGAAACGATAGGATTTCATTTTTAGGCATGCATCAGTCCAACTCATAAATCCAAAATGGCCAAGCAAAGGACAAAGGACAGGTTCCAGCTTTTATCTGTTTGGTCCAGGGGGTGGGTTTTTGGCATGGGACTTGTGAGAGGCAGAAGTCAGACAATGGTAGTTTGTCAAATTGTTTGTTTGGGTGTATTTGGTATTTTGTTGGCCCTGTTCAGACACAACAGGGTGTTTCACTCACAGGGAAAAAAGTTACTGCTTCAACCAAAGAGCGGGCCACACCACAACACATCACAGCACACCCCATGACACCATGCCTCATGTCACCTACCCTAAGAGGCATCTGGGGTCACCTTGGAAGACTGAGAGTGGTTGGAGGGCCAGTGCTTACCTTCTCTGGGCTGCTGTGTGCCACATTTCCCTTCTCTGGGGCAGTGGCCAGAGACCTCTGAGGTGAGGCTTGGCCCGCCATCTCCACACATGGTGTTGGTACCCACTCTTCCTAGAGCCTGGGACTCAGCCCATTGGGAGACAACTTGTGAATATCCCGCTTTGTCAACAGTTGACTGTGTCAACTGACAAGTGAGCTGGCTGCTGTTACATTTGAAACGTGGGTGCCTGGCTACCAGGTTCCATTCCATCATCCAGGAAGTGAGGTCACTTCCCAAGGCCCCCTTACCTGAGCCTCCTGCACAGGAACTCCCCACACAAGCCCCAGTGTGCATCTCTTGGTATACAGATTGTGATCAACATGATTTTCTTTGCTCTTTCATCTTGGGCTTCCATTAAAGTGAGACTCTTCATAACCTTTTAAAAAAATTTATTTAAAGAAAGACTGACCAAAACAGAAAATGGGGAGAAATAATACATACATTCAGAGAAAAAATAAACAATAAGAAATCACTAGTTGATGTTTACATACTGTCCTTTTACAAATAGTTGTGCAAGATACAAAAGTGGAACATATAAAGTGGGAATTCAAACAGTGAGACTGCAAACAGTTCTGTTCAACTATCCAACAAAACTTAGTAATACGGTTGTCAATCATATACACTTAAACATACATGCAGTTATCCATATCTTCATTTATGTGCCCCACCCCGAAAAGTGGGGCAAAGTGGGAGATCTAGTGGAGCGGGAGGGCGGGGGGGGGGGGGGGAGGCAAGCCGGAGGAGGAGGAGGAGGAGGAGGTGGAGGATCAGGAGCAGGACAGCGGAGGGAGCGAAGGAGGAGAGAGCCGGGCGTGGGCAAACGCGCCCCACAGAATGGGTGGTGGCGGATGGGGGAGCAGACTGAGACTAGGAGTAGTCAAGGGCGATGAGGGAGGCCAGAGATGGGGCGAGCTAGGAGGGCACGAAGCGGGAGGGACACCAGCTCACCCCCACCCCCTGCAAGCGGCAATGTGGGAAAGAGGATAAGCGACGACAACAAAGACACCATCAGACCCCTTAGAGCTTCTGGCCGGCAGCTTGCCATGGCCCCCTCACCCTCACACCGTCCACCACCGGCTGAGGGGAGGCGGGCCCTTGGAACCCACTGACAGCGATCAGCGAGACTGCGCGCTACCACAGTGCGCAGCGCGCAACAGCAAAGGACACCAAGTCATCCAGCAGGCCGTCTCCAGGGCAAACACATACCCAGGGCGCGGTCTCACTCAAAACCGGAGCCTGGAGTCCAGCCCGAACCCAGCGGGGAGACATCCATTTCTCCAGGACCCACGAGGAACCCCTCCTCCACCGGGAGGGACCGTGGCGGGGGGGGGGGCACACGATGGGGTGCAGGCTCGCCACGAACCACAACCCCACCCCGAGCCACCCCCCTCACCAAAACCAACACCTTGGGCATGCCACTCTCACTGGCCCTTTCTCTTCCCAACACAGCTCCATCTCGAAGCCCAACCCCCATGCACACGCCTATGGATGATGAGGGTGGGAGTGAGCTCCGGCCCACAAGGCGAATCAGGCATGCGCCACATGTCTGCACTTAGGGGGACAGAGGACACACCAACCTGGGCCCTGCGAGGAAATCCCATGCCGCACGACCCTTTGGAACAACTAGTGGGTCGCAATTGATTGGCAAATGACTCTCAGACAGGTATAGCCCCAGGAGGAACCCGGGGCCTCAAGTGTGTTCGAAGTGTCAATGATCAATGTGTCCTGCAATTCACATTGATTCTCACAGCTAGCTGCGTTCTTTACTGATGCATGAGCCCAGTGATCCACTGCTAAGAGTCGTATGTGACCATTTGCTTTTTTTTTTCCAGACGGTCAAGGGGTGGAGAGTCCACCGAGAAGCACCCTGATACGGGCGTGACTCTACCCTGCCAATGAGACACGGATGGGGTCGCCATGGGCCGGCCAGCAAGAAGGAACAGAGGACACTAGAAACTCCGAGGGAGTCAGGAGAGCGCGTTTTCACGCATGAGGTGGCTTTTTGGCAACCCACCAAGCTCAGCGCCACAGCCTGAAGCGCAGCAGATGAGCGCACAGGACAGAAGGACCAACCCAACAGGCGCGCGGGGCTCCCAACACCTTCCCCCTCACCGGGAATGGAGGCTCCGTGCTAAACACCAACACAACAGGGCCCTGAGGAAGGGCTGGGTATACCCCGAACCCAGCCAGGCTGCCTGGAGACAGCGGCTGTGCAAGTCGTCCTGGCCCATACCGAGGAGAAGCAGGCAGGGAAAGAGTGCATATGCGCGGACAGGGGAAAGAGCGAGGGGAGGACGGGCGCGGAGAGAGAGCGCCAAGGCGTCGGGGACTAGTGACCCCAAGTGCCGACTTCTTGCCAAATTACCCCCTAAAACGGGCCCTCAAGAGTCCCCAGCGTGACCCCACCGCCCAGATCCAAAGGACCTGGGGTGACCATATCCCAAGAGGTCTTTAAACCTCAGCACCAAAACAGGCTAGGTACCTGGATAGGGAGGCCAGATGCGCAGAAGCACCGAACAAACTCCCACGGGCAGAAGAGGGTGTGCGAAGGTGGCCGCGTTGGCGTGGTTGTGAGGAGGCGCCCGGGAGCAGGCGGCCGGCCGGCCAGCTAGCCACCATCCTCGCCCCAACCTCCTGTGCGTGCCCCAACACGATGCTGACCCAGCAGACACGGGGCCAGAGGCAGCGGGGAGGAGAGCCGCTGCTCCTGGGGGGCTGTAACACTGGGGGGGGGGATGAACCCCTACCCCAAGCCGTGTGCGCGCATGGGACCCCCAAGCCACCTTCCCTGCTGGGACTACCCAGCCATCCCAGAGCCAGTCGCAGTGCATCGCCTGGGTGGAAATTTGCCAGGTGGTGGCAGTCCGTCGGCTGGGGGGGCGGTACCCCGCCGACACCACCCCCGACACTCCCGCCCATCCCCCCGCACCCGCCAGAGCGCACCCTTCCCGTAATGGGGGGGCGGCCCTGGGTGGGAGGAATTGGGGGAGCGTGGGGTGGGAAAGATCCGCCGGGAGACCACCAGCACTGCCAGACGACGCCGGAGGGTTGAATCCTCCGGGCAGACTGCGTGGACCCCACCGTTTACCTCTTATTGGTTTCACACTCTCTTGAACTCTCTCTTCAAAGTTCTTTTCAACTTTCCCTTAAGGTACTCGTTGACTATCGGTCTTGTGCCGGTATTTAGCCATAGATGGAGTTTACCACCAGCACTGGGCTGCATTCTCAAGCAACCGGACTCGGGTAAGACCGGGACCTAGTGCACAGGGGGCCGCTACCGGCCTCACACCGTCCACGGGCTGGGCCTCAATCAGAAGGACTTGTACCCCCATGAGCAGCTCTGGGGTGTGGGTCTTCCATATGCCACATTTCCCGCACCCTACCGCGGGGCGAGGATTTGGCGCATGGCTCTTCCCTGTTTAATCACCATTACTGAGGGAATCCTTGTTAGTTTCTTTTCCTCCATTTAGGCATATTAGACTAATATGCCTAAATTCAGCAGGTTGCCATGTCTGATCTGAGGTCATGTCTCGGAGTTAGGAGTCCACCGACTGACCGACCTACAGAGAAAGCCGGGACCCGAGGTCAACGCCATCATCTTAATCGTTGTCATCGTCATCGTCATCATCATCGTCTCGCCCAGGAGTGCTGGATATCCCAACAGAGAGAGAGGAGGTGGTTGGAGGAGAGTGAGTCCGAGCGGGGATGACGCAGCGTGGCGCAGCATGGTGCACGGCGCAAGCCCCAAAGAGGGCATGGGAGAGGCCAAGGCACATTCGATGATACCTGCCTGCAAGGTTCTGGGCTCTGTGGCCCGCCTTCCCTAGTCCTGATGTGCCCCCCAACATGACGACACCGCGACAGGGAGACTCCCCCTACAACTCTGACAAGGCCACCGAAGCCACCCACCCCACCTCCCCACCCACCATCCAGCTGGGCTAAGCCAACACAAGGCCACCTTTGTTCCAACGTCCTCCTGACCCCCGTTCCACCACTCAGAAGAGGGGGGGGGGTCAAGGGGGAGAGGGAGGGAATGGAGGGAAAGGAGGCAAGCCAGAGGAGCCCTTGAAGCAGCAGGAAGGCAGGGTGGGGGGAGTGGGAGGTTGGGGGGGTGGGGACTACAGTAGGAGAGAGTGAGCCGGTGAGGAGGAACACGCCCCCACAAGGGTGGCGGCCGAGGGTGGAGAAGACAGAGAAGAGGAGTAGACAAGGGCAACACGGGGTGCCAGAGACAGGGCGAGCCAGGAGGGCACAGAGCCTGATGGGCACCAGGCTAGAACCAGCCTCCCCTCACACTGAAGGGCAATGAGGGAAAGATGACGGGCACAGCATGCACAGGGCAGCCAGGCGCAGGCTCGGGACAGGTGATGACGACAAAACATCGCCTGACCCCTTGGCACAGCTGGCCGGCGACTGGCCATGGCCGCCTTGCCCCTCACACCGTCTGCATCCTGCCAATTGGAGGCAGATTTCGGGACCCACTGACAGCACTAGGCGAGACCATGTGCGAACCTGGGGCTCAGAGTCAGATGGCCAAGGATGCTGAAGCGTCCCCCAGACCCCCGCCAGTGCAACGCATACCCGAGGGTGCGGTCTCACATGCACCACGGGCCTCGACACAAGGCCGACTCTGGTTGGGGGGGCACACATTTCTCTGGGACCCGAGTGCAGCGCAAGGGACCACTCCTCCACGGTGAGGGACCGTGGCTGGGGAGCATAGGACACAAGATGGGCACAGGCTCACCGTGAGCCGCAACCCCATCCCACACCGTTGCCCTCACGGACACCAACACCTCCCATACTCCACTCTTGCTCACCCCTTCTCTTCCGAACACCCTTCCCTCTCGAGGGCAGTGGGCATCAGGGGCACCACACCACACGACCTGCGGCCCCCTCCAAGCCCACACAGGCACACCGACAGACAAGGGGTTGGGGGTGAGCTCAGGGCCAACGAGGTGAGGCAGGCACACATTGACCGGGTCTGTACTTAGGGTGAGGCCTTGTGAGGAAACCCACAGCCTCAGGACCCCCACTCCCTCGGGGGAGAACACGAGGATCACGAGGATCACGATTGATCAGCAAGTGAAGCTTAGACAGGCATAGACCCAGGAGGAACCCGGACATGCAAGTGCATTTGAAGTGCCGATGATCAATTGTGTCCTGCAATTCATATTAATTCTCGCAGACAGCTGCATTCTCCATCGACTCACAAGCGGAGTAATCCACCGCTAATAGTGGTATGTGAGTGTTTGCTTTTTTTCTTCAGACGGGTGAGTGGAGGAAACTCCCCCCACAAGCACCCCGATGCTGGTGCGACACTTCCCTGCCCACTCGAGATGGACGAGGTCACCTTGGGCTGGCCACCAAGAAGGAACAGACGACACCCAAAACTCTGAGGGGGTCACAAGAGCACATTTTCAGCACAGAGGGAGCATTTCAGCAACCCACCGAGCCCGGCACCATGGCCGCAGCAGAGCAGATGAGTGCACGGTATGGAAGGAATGACCCCACAGTCTCCCGGCGGGTTCCTACCACATTCCCCCTCACCAGAAAGGGAGGACCCGCGACCAACACCATCACGGTCCTGATGACTGCCCGGGTTTATCCCTGAACTAGTTGAGGCCACCCAGAGACAGCAGCGGCACGCGGCGCTCTGGCCCAAACCAAGGAGAGGCAGGTGGGGAAAGAGTACATACAAAGGGGCAGGGGAAGATGCGGGGAGAAGAGAGCACAGCGGCGTGGGGGACCAGCGCCCCCAACGTGCGGTCTTCTTGCGCACAAGTGCCCTCCAACACGGGCCCCCATCAGCCCCCAGAGCGAACCTGCCACCAAGGCCTCAGGGTCTGCCGGGTGACTACCCCTCAAGGGGTCTTTCAACCTCCGCGCCAGGACCTGGAGACGGAGGGCAATTGCATGGAAGCATGGAACAAACACACATGTGCAGAAGAGAGAGTGGGATGGTGGCCACAGCCTCGGGATGGAGAGGAGGAGCCAGGCAGTGGGGGGCTGGTCCGACAGCCAGCCGCCCTCCACCCCCCAACCTCCCGGCGTGCCCTGACACGATGCCAACCCAGCAGACACAGCGCCAGAGGCGGCAGGGAGGAGAGGCATTTCGGCCAGAGGGCTTTAAGGGGGGGGAGGGTGATGGATCCCCTTACCACACCTCGGGAACGACGTGGGCTAGGGTAACCCCGAGCAAACTTCCCTGCCTTCCTAGGCGTCCTGTAGCCGGTCACAGCGCACCACCTCGGTGGAAATGCGCCTGGCGGTGGTCGGTCACCGGCCGACCCCACTCGAGGTGCCACCCGTACTTCCCCGACACCCGCCGGAGCGCACCCCAGTCCCAGAAGGGAGGAGGGGTGTCGGCGAGCAGTAGGGCAGTTGGGTGTGGGGGTTGGGAGAAACCGGGCTGGGAAAGACCCACCAGGCGACCAAAGGCAAGGCTGGAGGACACAGGGAAGGACTGTGGGGACACCACCCATTTACTTCTTATTGGTTCCACACCCTCTTGAAGTCTTTCTTTAAATTTTTTTTCAACTTTTCCTTTCCATATTTGTTGACTATTGGTCTCCTGCCAGTATTTACTCTTACATGGAATTTACCACCTGCTTTGGGTTGCATTCCTAAGCAACCCGACTCCGGGAATAGAATGTATCCAGTGCACCAGGGTCAGCTACCGGCCTCACACCGTCCACGGGCTAGGCCTCGATCAGAAGGACTTGGGGCTCCCAGGAGTGGCAATGGGGAGTTGGTCTTCTGTATGCAACATTTCCCGCACTGCACGGAATGGCAGGGATTCGGG